AAGAAGTCCCAACTGGACTTTGGGGTGCATTTGTGTGGTGGGAACCTGCACAGGGTGTTTGTGGCCGAAGTAGAGGATGACAGTCCTGCCAGGGGTCCCGATGGCCTGGTGCCAGGAGACCTAATCCTCGAGTATGGCAACCTGGATGTGCACAATAAGATGGTGGACGAGGTCTACGTGGAGATGCTGAAGCCCAAAGACAGTATCCGCCTGAAGGTGTAGTACCGCCCAGAGGAGTTCACCAGGATCAAGGGCCTGCCTGGTGACAGCTTCTACATCAGGGCCCTGTATGACCGGCTGGCCGAGGTGGAGCATGAGCTGAGCTTTAGGAAGGAGGACATTCTCTAGTGGATGACACCTTGCCCCAGGGCACATTTGGGTCCTGGATGGCGTGGCATCTGGATGAGAACGCCCAGAATATCCAGCGTTGGCATATTCCCAGCAAATGTGTGATGGATCAAGAATTCTCCATGAGGCTCAGCATGTCCGAGGTCAAAGACAGTAGTGCCACCAAGACGCTGTCAGCAGCTGCTTGCTGGTCCTTCTTTGGAAGGAAGCACAAGCACAAATGCAATGGGTCCAAAGACAGGAAAGACCTCCTGGCCTTGGACACCTTCTCCAACGACTCCCTCTAGCTCTTTGAAGATTCAGTGAGTCTGGCCTATCAGCAGGTCCAGAAGGTGGACTGCATCTCTCTGAGGCCTGTCCTGATTCTGGGGCCTCTGCTGGATATGGTGAAGGAAATGCTGATAAATGAGGTCCCTGGCAAGTTCTGCAGATGCCCGTTGAAAGTGATGAAGGCCTCCCAGCAGGCCATTGAGCGGGGCATTAAAGACTGCCTGTTTGTCGACTACAAACGGAGGAATGGCCATTTTGATGTGACCATGGTGGCTTCAATAAAGGAGATCACAGAAAAGAACCGGCACTGCCTCCTGGACGTCGCTCCCCACCCCATTGAGCGCCTGCACCACATGCACATCTACCCTATCGTCATCTTCATCCACTACAAGAGTGCCAAGCACATCAAGAAGCAGAGAGACCCCATCTACTTGAGGGGCAAGGTGACACAGAGGCATTCCAAAGAGCAGTTCAAAACAGCTCAGAAGACGGAACAGGAGTACAGCAGGTACTTCACAAGGGTCGTCCAGGGAGGAGCCCTGTCAAGCATTTGCACTTAGATCTTGGCAACCGTCAATCAAGAACAAAGTAAAGTCCTGTGGATCCTCAACTGCCTGCTCTAGGGGAAGGGGAAGTGGGCACCAGGAGGCGACTGGACCGGCCCGCTGGTGGGGAGACTGGCTCGCTCTTCTCCAGCAACTGAAAACAGAGATGGGCCTGTTTAAGGACATGCCGGGGAAGGATCCAGAACCAGGACTCCAGAAGCCCCTCCTTTGTAGACAGAGGGGGTTGGCAGCTCGGATCTGGGCCTAGGCCGGCAGACTGCTCCTCTCACATGTGCTTTAAGACAAAACAAAGCAGAAAATGCAAAAGACTTGATAGAGGGGTACAACACCCACCTTCCTATAGCCACCCAATCAGTGATGCTGCACAGAGAGCCTTTCAGATCACAAGTTTACAAGCCTTTTCTAAGTATCTGGTGGTTATGTTTACGTGGATGCCCCATGCTGCTGGTGCCCACCTCACCCCTTCCGCCCCCTGTTGCTTTAGTTCCCCAAATGACCCTGGAACCTCATGGAGTTGGGGGGTGGGGCGGGCTGCCCACCTCAGGAGGTTCTTGTCAGTGGGATCAGAGCTTCAGCAGACTCCCTGCTCCTCAGAGGTGGTACCTCTCCTGGAAGGACTTCGTCACTTCAGGTGCTCAGACTGCTGGAGACGGCAGAACCAGTGCCTGGGTGGGGTCAACTCGCTGGTTCTGTGTTTTCCTCCCATACCCGGGAGGGCAGCTTGGGCATCCTCACAAACTCGCCTCTTGGCCTTTCCCTCCTGTTTCTCCAACCCCCAAGCGCTC